AGTACTGAATCTAAGCGTAGCTCTCTAAATGGTGAGAAGTTGCTCCTAGTGCGTATTTCTGGCGAGAAGTTTGCCTGCCGTTTATTTGGTGGGAGGATTGGTATTTCAACTACGCTAGGTATAGTAGTCTGCGTAGGCGTCGCTGGTTCCGTGGTTTCCATATCTATCTCATTCTGGATCTGAGCTTCGATTTCTGCTCTCGCCTGGGTGCCTGGCACGTGTACGTCGATAGTATCACTATCGGGTGGCATTTTGATTACTAATCCACCTGGTCTGTGTGTTTTTCGGTGAAAAATAAGACGTGTCTAAAGTGATCACTTTAACAGCCTATAGCTCCACAGCGCGTGGCGTGCACGCTTTAAAGGTGATTGTAATCGATTTCTCGCGAGGGGTTTATATATATTTGACTAAAATTACACCTATTCTAGAAAACTCGAAGTTGTCTGCAGTTGTGTATGTCAGATTTCCTTTAGATTCCTAAGTATTATAGCTTTTTAGCTATCCTTACTACTTAACTAAGTACTTCTACTAACTACTAATTTTCCGCAGGTCCTTAATTTCCTCGACCTTATACTTGTTGTCTTCGAGCTCTATATCTGTTACTAGCTTAGTATCTAGAGGTGCTAGTTCTAGAAGTTTCTTATAAAATATAGGGTGGATTTGTATACTTTATAAGAGTTTTAACTTATAGTTTACTTTTTCTATTTTCTCTAGAATTTTAAATAGTCCTATTTAGAGGTTGTCCAATTTTCTGTATAGTCGTTTAGTTTTTAGGTTTTATCTTAATAGAAAAACTTTATCCCCCTTCTTAAAGGTTAGTCCCTTAATTCTTTACTTATTCGCTGCTTTAGATGTTGTAAGATTTTATTAAGCTATATTCTTACTTAATTCTTCGTATAATTCTCGCATAAGTTTCGCTTTATCGTCTACTCCTACCGCGATATTTTCAATATTCCTTAGATCTTAATAAGTAGTCGGCTTATATCCATAGTTCGCGTAGTACGGTAAATGCTTTATTGTTGCTAATTTCATACTATTGTAGGCTAATTACGCTGTTAGTAGTAGTTCTACCTAGTTATCTTACAACTTATTAGCGTATATCTATAGATACTATTCTAATGTCTAGTTTGTTCGTTCCGTCTAGCCGTCTGTTTCTAGGTAAAAGCTTATTAAAAGCTTCTTCTTAACACCTAACTTTGCTAGGAATGTGCTCTAGTATTTAGACGTAAACAGTTTATTACGATTAGTAATGAACTCTTTAGATATCCTATACTCTAATACTAGTGCCTTTATAACCTCGTACGCGCATTTATCTACTATAATAGTTTCTTCTATAAGCACGAATTTCGCTGCCTTAGTTAATTAGTCTACGATTACTAGGATTGTATTATAAAATCGAGCTGATTTTAGTTCTAATGATCTTAGGAGCTTTACTATAAAGTCTATTATTATACTTATCTATAGTCTAGATAGTGGCTGTAGAGGTTATAATAGGCCGTAGAGCTTATATCTCTTAGGCTTATTCTAGTAATATACTAAACAGTTGCCTAGTATTTCCTGCACCTTCGCTCGCAAGCGTAGTATCTTAAATATCCTTTTTAGTCGTCTAACTATTTCGTCTACTACTATATGTCCGTATTCTAGGGACTTATATAGTGTCTTAATAAGTTCAGCTCTTATATAAGGGGGTACGTATGTCTATATACCTTCTCTTAGAGCTCTAAGTTCTCTCCTATTATTTATTACTTCCAGCGGGTATTCTGGTATTTGCTGCTATAGCGTTGCCTTTTCCTACTATTATTGTTCGAGTGTTTCTACTTACTCAGCTACCTTAGCTACCTTAGCTAGTTCTAGCTGGTTGTACTTTAGACTACCATTAGGTATTATCTTAAGTAAGGCGTTATGTAGTTCTTTATAACCCTCTTCGCGCAAATTAGACCTTCTACTTAAAACGTTCGCTACTCTATTAAGCGTCCCTGCGCGGTGCGTGATCTTGAAGTCGAACTAGGCTAGTGTCTCTATCTATTATACTTATCGTTAGTTGAGTTTTTTCGTTATTATAAAACTCATTAAGTTCTAGTAATTAGTAAAAACCTTAATCTGTTTAGGGAGTCCTAACAGGTACACTTCCTATTATTTAAAGGCATTAACTACTCTAAGTAGTTCCTTATCGTAAACATTATAGTTAAGTTCTACTCTAGAGAACTTTCGTGAATAGTAGAACACTAGTCTCTATTTTCTATCTAGGCACTACTGTAACAATACAGCTCCAAGTGCATAGTCAGACGCGTTAGTCTCAACTCTGGTAGGTCGTTAAGGGCTGTACATCTTGAGTACTAGCGCCTCCAGGAATATCTACTTAATTCGATCGAAAGCCTCTTAATGTTCCTATTCCTATTTAAAACCTATTTCCTTTTTCGTCACTTCTATAAGAGGTGCTGTGATTTTTAAGTAATCTCTAATAAACTTTCGATAATAATTCGCAAATCCTAAGAAGGATTAAATATCCTTAACTATTTTAGGTATTAGCTATTCCTATACAGTCTATATCTTCTTTAGGTTCATTTTCACTCCTTCGGTTAATATAATAAATCCAAGAAATTCCGTTTCCTATATATAAAATTCACACTTTCCTAGTTAAAGGTATAGCTTATATTCCTTAAGCTTTCGTAGGACCTTCTTAACATACTCAACATATTCTTCGCGTGTGCCACTAGAGTACACTAGTACATCGTCCAAATACGCGGTAATAAAGATTCCAAGGTATTCGTAGAGTGCGTTATTAATAACTAATTGAAAGGTTACCGGCGCATTCGTCAATCCGAACGGCATAACCGTGTACTCAAAGAGTCCGTAACGTGCTGGATAAGCGAGTTGGCCAGGCAAGCGAGTTGGCCACCCCACCAAGTTTGCGCACGCGGTTTAACTCTATACACAACCACTCCACGCAGTATATTCTAAATGCCTTCAAATGAAACAGATATTCAGCTTGCTATCTCTTCTCTTAATGCTCATCAAATCCAGAGCAACCGACGTGCAGCAGCAACATTTAATGTGACACGATCAACGCTACAGAACAGGCGCAATGGGAAGCCTGCCCGACGCGATTGCCAGCCCAACTCAAAGAAGCTTACCAAGCTAGAAGAGGAGGTAATAGTTAATTATATACTTGATCTAGATCTACGCGGATTTTCGCCTACCTACGTAGCTGTGCGCGATATGGCCGATAGACTGTTAGCTGCGCGTGGTGCTGGCCAGGTTGGGCAGAAGTGGCCAGCCAACTTCGTTAAGCGTACAGACAGACTTGCGACGCGTTTTAATCGGG